AGGAGGTGAGCCCAGCATTATTACTCTGCTGCCATCTTGCTTTACTCTAAAAAAATTAATATCTTGACAAAGACTGTAGAACTTTGTAGCATTTGAATTATAACTTTATCAGCATGTATAGTTAGCTCAAGTCAACAGATCAGTTTTTAAAATAATTAATCAGATGTTTGATCAAATGATCACATTAGTTATGTGTTTTACTCAGACTGTATGTCATTTAGTATTTGTATTTTCTTTCATTTTTGAAATCTGTAAGCTCCTTGAGGTCAACATCTATATCACTTTCACATCCTGAGCTGCAGATAAACATATGGTGTTTAGTATATAGTTATATACTATAGTATATAGTTATATACATGTATTAAGTATATATACATGTATTACATACATGTATTAAGTATATGAAAGAATGCTTCTAAAGGAGTTTGAGCTTATTTCCAAATAGTAGACTGGTATTAATTTTTTCCATGGAAATCACTACAGAGTTTTTTATGCCCCAATTATTATGTTATTAGAAGGGATTTTTTTAAATCTCATTTTGTTTTAATTTCTTGAGCCAGCTTTGCCAATAATAAATCTGTCTTGTACAATGGTGTAAATGAAGATGTTAAGACAAAACTCCTTCAATCTACTAAATTTACATGAATTTTATTTCATTTCCATGTTTCTTGATTGATGTTGCCCTATTACTTGCTGCAGATTTTGCAAGACTGTCCAGAAGAGCCTGAAGCCATTAATGATGAGGAGCAATTTGATGAAATTGAAGCAGTTGGGAAATCACTTTTGGATAGATTAACTGTTCCTGTAGTTTATCCGGATGGGTATGGTGCATATTCATATAATTTTGTCTTTTCGTCAGTGAGGTTATAAAGTGAAATAATTAAGGGAAAAAATTATTTTTTTAAAAAATGCAAGTAAATTAGCTTCATTCTTCCCATCTTCAGTTCTACAATAAATTGGTTTAACATGAAACAAATCTAAACTCAGCTCTTACCACTAGTAGCAGTTTTGTTGTTTTTTTATACAAGCATTGGGTACAGTCAGAAGCACGGGAGGGTGAGAGAATTCACCAGAGCCAGAGTGGGGAACAGAACAGGCAGACTGACGAAATACACTGCTGAGGGGAGCAGCGGACGCGGTAGGAGAGATCTGCGCGCCCTGTGGGACCCTCGCCAGTGGGCGGGGATCGAACCGGCGCTGCAGAGGCTGCAGGCAGCTTCTCAGCCCCGCGCTAAACCGCTGCGCCACCAGGGGAGGCCCAGTAGTAGCAGTTTTTACTTGCTGCTATCAAATATATTGCTTCTTGATAGAATGTTGTAGAAGAAAGATCATTGACTTGTTGACATACTGTGTTCTAGCCATGGCTGTGATGATAGGATAACCTTGATCTTTATTCAGGGAAGGAGCTTGGGAGGGCAACCAGTGTTTAGTGAGCTCATAATACATAATAAGCATCATTACTTTTGATCAAACTGTAACATGCCAGTATAATGTCACTTGACACTCTGTGCTTCAATTTCCTCACCTAAAAATAGTGATATACTATTCATACTTACTTGGATTATAGAGTCAGGATATAGTCTCAGGTCTGACTCCCAACCCATTCTTTTTTAACATTGGTATATGGAATCCTATTTCTTCATTTATAAAATGATGGCATCTTAATTCAGTCATTGATAAAAGTATAATATACTCTCTTACAAATAAATGGTCTAGTAAAAGAATCAGAGGGATACAACTGAAACATTGTGTTGTAAACCAATATTTCCTAAACAAATCTTAAAAAAAAAAAGAAATTTAGACCTAAAAGGGGATTTTAAAAATTCAAAGTATTAAGTAAAGTTTAAATGATCACAGTGAAAAATAAATAACCAGAGGTGCTTCATTCCTGAGAATCTAGACCTCTGTCTGGATACAGAATAATTTAGAAATAATCCAAAGGATATTTATTTCAGATAGAATGATAGAAAAATGAAACCATTGAATACAACTATCCTTACATGGCAGTATAGTACAATGGTTAGAATTTTTACTCTAAAACCATGTTTTGGGGGTCTCCTTGGTGGCATAGGGATTAAGTCGCAGCAGATCTCGCCTATCTCTCCTGCTGTTCCCTTAGTAATGTATATCAGTAAATCCGCTTGTTCTGTTCCCCCTGACTTTGTCTCTGTTGAATCCTCTCACCCCCACACCTCTGGCCTACACCCCAATTCTACACAAAAGAAAAGAAAAAATAAAACCAGGTTTCTTGGGTTGAAATCTCAGCTCTACCACTTACTGTGACAGCTTGGGTAAGTCACTTGACACTCTGTGCTTCACTTTCTTCACCTAAAATAGGGATACACTGTTCATACTTATTTAGATTATGGGAGCAGGGGAATTACTTGAGAAAAAATGTGTATAAACTACTTAAAATGAATCTGACACATAGTAAGTATCACTTATTACTTTGTCTTGAATGCCAAGTGATTATGTGGAATTAATATTGAGAAGATGTAATTTTATTCCCTTGAAACATTATTATTCATAGTGTATTCTTAGATTTGTAGTCATACCTAAATCTGAGCATTCAGAAGTAGCTTAAATTCATGTTGTACATCCGTAATGTAAGGGAATAAAATCTCTTAATTCATAAATTCATAAAGTAACAGTATTAATAAGAGTGCTTCTGGTTGTTCCATTCCAGAACACCCCCAAATCCTTAATTTCTGCATTTCATGGCTAGTCGTCACACAGTTTGTCTTCTATTCTGCTCAGGACATCATAGGAACATCTACCCCTTATACTTTTGCTTGGGCTTCTCCTCTCTGTTCCACAAATAGTCTATGTGTCGTTTCTTCATCTTTTTAAGATCAAAGAACAAATTATTTCTATATATTGAAATTTCATAACTTCCACCTTTAATATTTAAAATTATTACTCCATTTTTATGACAAGCTGTTTATCATGTGTAGTGTGTTTGACAGTAAACATATTTAGATTTATCTTTTGTAACATCCTCCTAGTAAAATAAGTTGAATGGCCTCTATTTTAAGACGCAGATTCAAATTCTGCTTTTTGCACTATCTTATCTCAGTAAAGTCATTTAATTTTCTGGGACTTAGTTTTCTGATCTGAAAAATAATAAAGAACTCACAATCAGGTGATATTCAAGAACTCTTCCATCTCTAAAAGATCTTGTGATTCTAAATATGGTGGCTTTGCAAGTAGGATAAAATGAAATGATTTCGTTGATTACTTTTCCAAATGATGCTGTAACATCAAACAGATATTTTACTTGCCCACTATGTTAGCCAATTGGTGTGCATAGCCCTTAGCATTGAAGTACACATTCAAATTTTGTATTTGTAGACTTTAAACTGATAACCAGAATATCAACTGTTGCATTGGTGGGCTTATTGAGATTATTATGAGTATATGTAATATGACATTTATACTACTAATGTATTTTTCTCAACATGTCAGTATATTTTATGCCTTTTTAAAAAATGATTTTTCCCCACAATAAATCTGAGACATTCGGGAGAGGAGGGGAGGGTAGAGGAGGAAGAAAGCACAATGGACTATGTTGAAGGGTTGTGGGTCTTTGGTGGTGGGGACACTATGGTGATTATACCTGAGGAGAGAAATCCTATGTTGTGAAAAATAAACAAGGATGTTTAAGAAGATTGATTAATTAAATGTTCATTTTTAAGTATAGGAAAAAAATTTGTTTTTTCTACAGAGCTACTGCTCAAAAAATAAACAGTATGCAGTATGGTCTTCAGATGAACTAAGTTGTACACACAGGTCATATTATATTGATACTTTCTTATGGCAATTGTTGCTTCCTTTTACATTTACCATAATCAATGCATGTGTATTAATTTAACTGGGTTTTTCTGTTTGTTTCAATTTTTAGAACTGAACAGTATTTTGGGAGTCCAAGTGACATGGCTTCTTCTGCTGAACACATCAGAGACAGGATGAAACTAGTTAGTCTCAAAAGGCAGCAGCTGAGACATCCTGAAATGATGAGCACCGAGAGCTAATAGCTACCAGCTTCCCACAGATCTGCAGTTCATAATCCCGCATGACATCGGCATCCTATAGAATTAGCCATAATACATTCAAATGCATTTCACAGCCAGGAAAAGCCTCATTTCTTTCCACTACACATTTCTCTTTATGGTAACACCTTGCCACTACCAATGCATAATTATTTAACATGATTTGAGACCATAGACTCCCAAGTATCTTAAAAGAAGGAACTGTACACATTGCACTGAAATCCTGCTTTAAAGCTTTACCTGACCTGTCAGTTTATAGATGAACAACTGATAATAAGCTTTGATTGGTGCTAATAAGAGTTTCAGAATTCTCTATAAAAAAAGCGGTTGCCCTTCCTCCCCAGGTGATGTAGTAAGTTTAGACTTGTAGTTAACCTATTATTAGTAGACAATGGTGTCCTTAAAATTTTAGTTTGTAATTCTTCAAAACTGATTATTTTTATTGTGTTGGTATGAAGAAAACTCTTCAAATCTTTGATATATCATATTCATTAAAAGACATTTTCCTAGTTGTATTAATAATGTATTAAAATTGTGCTTAATAAAAGGCTTCTTTTAAACATCTTATTTAATTTGGTGGTTATATCCTACTTTCAAATATGAGTGCCTTATTGAAAAAGGGCATTCTTAGGATTGTGAGGATGGTTTAGTATTTGCTTTTTTATGTTGGTTGCATGTGTTTTAGCCAAGAAATTCATATGTAAGCATGTATATATAATAAATAAGCATGTTTGATATGAGAAATGTGAAGAAAAAGTTAGATCTTAAAGAACTTGTGAATAATGGAATACTATTTCTAATTTTTCTCTTCTTCAACTTGAAAAATATCCCAGTTAATGAGGAGGGCTGGGAAAGAAGGCATACATAATTACTTAAGTGTAATTCTTTGTATCAGAGTAATCTTTTTGGAGCTAAATGGCCATTGTTAATAAAATTTGATTTTTATTTTAAATGAATCAATTTTAATTTAAAATTTAATTTCAAAATAAATTCTGAATTAGTCTAGTAATGAAAATTGTACAACTCTTTTAGAAATAAAATTTATAAAATGTTAGTACATTTAAGTTTGTATTAAGTTTAAATATTGAAATTGTGTTAATTTTTTTTCAAAGACTGGTTTGTGGAAAATATTTAAATTTTTTTAGCTTTTTATCAGTACAAAATTATGCAAATAATTGTATCCTGGTTTCTCTCTATTGTCTATGAAAATGTTCATGTACCCTCCAATGCAAAAATCTTCCTTTGAACCTACTGGTTTCTTCAGCCTTTTCACTGCCAATCTTTTTGGAGAAATCCACATCTAATGCCCCAACATCCTCATTATTCTCTGCTGGGTACCCTGCAGTCTGGTTTTTACACAGCATTATAGTGAAAACTGTTCTCAATGGACTCTCAGTTACTTAACTGAATGATTTTTGTTCTTGTTCTACATCCTCATTCCTCTTCTGTCTCTGCAACATTTGTACCACTGAGCAGTCTTTCCTAGAGTGTCTCCTCCCTTGAAGATGTTATTCTCCACCATAACTGTGAGTATAGTCACACATTATTAAAAATGTGTCTTCAGCTTGTTCCCTCTCAGTTCTGTAGGTAGCTCACCATTAGGGTTTTATTTTACCTCAATATCCTGTGTTACATATCTGTTCCACAATTCTTAACTTTCAAGTACAAGTTGATGTTTCAACTGAAATGAAGTTATAGATCATATTTGCCACCTTTCTCCTTTTGGAGCAGTTTTGGCTAATGGTGCAGCATTTTCCTTGTTATACATGCCAGAATATATGGGAGCAAAATTTAACTGCTTCCTTTTGTCTTATCCTGCCACTGATTCTGAGACCATCTGGAAGGGCTTAACTGCTATGAATTTAAAACTCTGTGATTCTTAATTTCATTCTTTATGATGGTGCTAACCACATTCTACAGTTGTTAATGTCTGTACCTGCTACACTGCAAGTTTTTTTGAGGGAGGGAATTTTGTGTGACTTCTCGTGCCCAGTCCTTTCCTCATGCCTAATAGTTGTTCAGTCACCTGGATGGGAAGGGTTATTGTAGGCATTAGTAATAATTCCCTGATACTGGAGTATGAAGTGCTCCCTAAACATTTTCTAAAGTTGTGACTGACATATGAGTGAATCTGCTTTATAAGGAAGTCATTTGGTATTTCAGATACTTAGATGTCAGCTAATTTAGATATTTAACTTATCTATTTCTTCTACTGAATTTTAAAATAGTTGGGATGTTTTCATTAAGACTCTGCTAGAAAGGAATTGGATTGTAAGTACTGAGACTCAGCTTTACTATCAACCCACCTACCTATCATCAAATTACTTAACTTTTATATGCCTTAAACTTACTCCTGCCTATAAGAGTAGAATAAGGTAGCATTTGGAGATGTCATTTGTAATTTGAGTATTTCAGATGAAGCTGAATATACTTTTAACATAATAAAAATTGCTCTTCATTTATAAATTTGCTGCTTCTTTATGTATGTGTATCTGTATATACACGTAAAGTTATGAATGAAAATCCAATATTACTCTGATCTGATTTTTTTGTAGGGTCAGAGTTCACTTAGAGTACGTATGAAGGAAGTCACTGCAGTATGTTTGAAATCACAAACTCTTTGTGCATCCTAAATTAACGTTGTGTTGCAAATGGAGAGAGAACCATCATTTCTAAATAGTACAGTATTTAGTGAATAGTATATGACAACCTTCCACATTACTTTAGTCCATCTCAGGGAATTCTTGAAGTGTTTATTGGGCTAGTTTCATTTTGTTTTTTTGATTTGGGGGATTTTTTTTTTTGTCTTTATGTATTTGCTCAGTGTACACTCACTATGTAACTGGCAGTTTTGGCATTCTTTGCAAATCTAACTTAGCAGAGTTATGATACAAATGTAACTTTATTACAAACAAAACTGGCTTTCTTCTTAGTCCTCATTGTCAGTGACCTTGTTCTGCTAAGGTGACTTATTGGTGGTGTTGATGATACTGCTCAGCTTGCAAGGTAGGATGTTGGTGAATCAAGTTTCTTATTTGTGTAGAAAATTGTATACTTCTACTTTATTGGCTTTAAATTGACTAGTGCTTCCAAGTTACCTAGTTTTAATGTGTTATGATTACCTTGTAAGTTGATACAAAATGTGCTTTTTAGTTTATTATTATTTTGTTAGTGGCATACTCCTTGAAATGAACATGGCAATGACTTATTCTGATAGTTCTGAGCAAACCATACTGTCTACTGTAAACCCATTCTAACCAATGACATTAGCCATTGTGAGGTTAACTAAACCTATCTCATTGTACAGTCTACATTTGGAGAAAAAATTCATATCTCTACTTATATTTTAAGTTCTTGGTCAGTGAGATTGGGTATTGGAGAGTACCCTTATCACAGGGCCATAATAAAACACTATGGATACTAAAAACTAAACATAGTATTACTGCTAAAGTCTTCTACCTCTTGGCCCTATAGAAAATGGTACAAAAACTTATATGAGTAAATATCATCATTGAGTGAGAGGTGTATAATTGAGGCATCTTTGTGTAAAAGCTCAAGGGAAAATCCTTTAGGTTTAAAAAAGAAGGGCTGGAACATAGTTGAACAGTTAACCTAATTAGCAAGCTTACCAGAGTTAACTTTCAGTTATAAAAATAAAAGGCTTCAGATGGGAGTAGAAAGTACTCTCCTGGCATGCGGGACCAAAAACATATCTTGATAAGGGAAAATGAAGTACAGAATTAAAATCTGACATTATTTGACTTCTCTGTGTGCTACAGAAAAGTTAAGGCTTAGTTAAGAAGCATAAATAGTGGCAAGAATAGTAAAGATCATAAAAGCTAAAATGAAACCACTAGTTTTAATGTTCATTTGATTACCTTGTTAAGTTGAATAGAAAGAGTTTACAGTTTGAATATCTGATTTTAAAATCTAGCTTTGCCATTTACTCTCCTAGGTAGAAATCACTAAACTTCGATGGGTCTATAAAATAGAGAAATCTGAGTATCAAATGATTTTAAGAATAAAATTCAAGCATGTTTAAAAATGTGTTGAAAACTAAAATGTCATCCCAGAATAGAAACTATCATTATTATAATTATTTTCTTAGAGTTGAAAACAGAGCATTCTTTAATCTTGCTCTTGTCTCAGATGACAAGCATAGGGAGGTATGAGGGTAGTGGCATATTATTTATGCTCACTTCTTTCAACTCTAATCCCCTACATTCAGAATTACATACTGAAAATATTAGGAGCGGAGTTGGTAAGCTAACCAATAAATAACAATACTTTTAAATCTGACAAATTAACTCTTTTATGGCAGGGTAATAAACCAGCATGATGGAAGACAAGTGAGGAGTACCATCTACTTTGAGTTGACAGTACATGACACAATCCATTAATAAGTAAGTAAAAGAAAGTCATTTGGGGTGAATGTTAGTGACTCAGCACAAACCTGTTAAGATATTTATAAAATATCCTAATAATTAGATAAGAAAAGTATGACTAAGGGTCACCACTAGTGCAGTTTTGGTTGGAGAAAAGTTAGGCAGTGAAAGTTGTTAAAGTTGGACAGTGGTACTAACAGAAGACTGATTCTGTAATAGAAAGTGGTAGTACTAAGTTTGCTCTGTGAGAAGCCGTGAATGCAGAAAAATGTTTAAAACAAAAGGAATCAGAGATATGAGGCTGAATAACATGACTGCAGTATTTTAAAGCAAATTTGACAACACGAGTTGGTGTGTTTCAAGACAAAGTAGAGCCTGTACTAGAACATGAAGAACTTAGAGATCAAGAGAAAGTCTGAACTATGAGGAAATATTTTGAAAGCAGTAAATTTTTAAGAGAATTACAACTGTGTTAGAGAACTCATATGAGGCAATATATGTAATTTCTATATATAATGATATGGGAATTTTTAGCATATAACTAAATATAGTTACCAACTGCTAGATATTTAGAGCTGAGTTAATTTGTTACGGATTTTAAGACAGGCATGTGAAAACCTATTTCTGACAAAAGGCCACTAAAGTCTGAAGCTAATCTTAGTGAGTCTCCAGAAGTCACCTTAGAAGTATTTATAAGTTAAATGCCATCCCTAGGGTGTCCCCAAATTCATCTTCCAGGATGATTTAGAGTCCTTCCACTCACAGCTTAGGGGCTGTTCATGATGATGTAGCTGCACATCATGATGTTCTGCATATCTCTTCTATGTAGTTACCCTGATAATTTTGTAGTTTAGAAGTCAGGGTAAAACAATTTCTGTGCTTGATTTTTCTCTTGAGAATGTTTATCTTAGTTCTTATGTTAATCTACATAGCCTACAAATATGCCTCAAATATGCCATCAATATATGTATTTTATTTTTTAAAGGTATGAGGGGATCAGAATATCATTTAGACAAATTTTGAACCAGAATAGATTTGAGAACTGATTGATAACCTCACACTCAGAAATAGCCTTTCAGAAACTCACGAACTCTTAAATTTCTAAATTGACACCAATCAGAAGAATATGATAATTATATTGTCATGAGATCAAAACAGCAATCTCACTGTTGTTATTTGGTAAGCAGTTTGCCCTGGATTTTCTCCCAATTTTTACTATAAATATGTTCAAATACAAAAAGTTAAAATTTTGTTATATTTCACCATTTAGATGCTAGTCAGCCTAATATAATTAGTAAGCATTAACTATGATTGTATTATATATTCATCCATCTATCAATAACCCAGATTAATTTTTGCTGCATTTTAAATTGTAGCCATCTGCTAAATACCAAATACTTAAGCATATTTCTCATTCATTCACTAGAATTCAATATTGGCTACTTTTTAAATGTAAAATTAGCATACAAGGAAACATATATAAAGTATGGGTTTGCTGAGTTCACATTTGTTAACAGTGCTATCAAGATATGAAATGCTATCAGAAAGTTCCCAGATGGCCCTTTCCAGTCAACCCTGTCTTCACCCCATCCCACCAAGGGTAATCACTGTTCTTTTTCCTACCATAAAACAGAGTTGTCTATTCTAGATATTTGTAAATAGTCACACAGCATGTACTTTTTCTAGAAGCTATCTTCATTTACTATACTTTGGAAAGTTATCAATGTTGTTGGGTGTCCTACTTGATTTTTATTGCTCAGTAGTATTCCATTGTGTGGCTATATTGCAGTTTATGTATTCATTTTCTTATTTATGATAGTTGAGGTATTTCGAGTATTGATGATTATAAGTAAAGCTGCTATGATTGTTTTTAACATAAGTCTTATGAACATAGACATTCATTTCTCTTTGATGATTACCAAGGGTTAGAATTTCTGTTCATAAGGTAGTTTTAAACTGCCATGCCTTTTCCCGGTATAGTTATATATATCCTGGATTTTCACTGTACATTTTGGATGTGTTTCCACATTTACATAAAAAACTATTTTTGTGATCCTTATTTGAAATATTAGAAGTAGGCTTGAGATGGAAATAGCATTTTTTTATGGTTGGCAATTGGGAGTTGTTATTTGAGGGGCACAGATAAAGGGATTCCTATGCCTGAAATTTTAGCATTAGTTTCACTCTTTGAAAGATTTAAGCACTTACCCAAGCATGTGATGTGTTATCTAGAAGAAATAGCACTTGTTTTTTGTGTTACTAACTTTTGCTACCCATTTTCAGTAAGTAAAATGAGGCTGATAATTGAATGGAAGGGACTAATTCTGTTCAATCTCGGGAAAAAAGGGGTAGTAAACAACATGCACTCCAGTCAATCCCAGGTATGGCAATGTGAGAACCATCTGGTCAGGGAAAATCCCCAAATGGTAGTCAAGAAATCAGAAAATGGTATGGGAAGAATTCTACCTCACACTTGTGCATAGGGAATAGCTATGGTTTTGTAAGACATTATAGCATTTAGAAATTATATTTTCAGTGTCTCTTTATTCAATGCCACCCAGCTCTAGTTACTTCATAACCTCATGACTTTCTTACCTGCTATTTTACCCTTCCTGTCTATTCTATTACATATAGCAGTTATCTGTACAAGCCTGTAAAATTATAGTCATGTATCTTTCCAATGCTTTTGTTTAAAGATATTTATGTATGATTCATCCAATCTTTCCTATTAGATTTTTAAGGGCTGGGATATTTGACTTCTACTGTAAATCCTTATAATGTTCCTCACATTGTAAATATGCAATAAAAGTGTTAAAAACTATAACTAACGGCAGTAAATTTTGACATGTATTTCTTTGATACTTTGGACACTTGTTTCCTGCTTATTAAGATTTTTAATAAAATCTAGGGAAAATTAAGTCATACTGGTATTTATAAAATAATTTGATAAATTTTGCATCTTTGAATCTATTCCAATTATTTTGTGCAAAACTATAAATTTTTTAACAGTATTTTCTGAAATATTTGATTAAAATGAGAATATGATTTCTTTATTCTGAAATAATCCAGAGTCTTAGAAAACAAAACCTATCCTTTCCCTTTACTTGTGCTCTTCTTTTCCACTTCTGTTCCACATGTCTGCCGCAGAAATACAGGACCTGCTCTAGGTCCTAAATTGCTAGGGTCTCACCACAGTAGATAGTGATTAAATTTCTTTTGTTGTTATCAAAGAAGGCCATTTTTGAGACATAAAAGGCAAATGTCTATTTGGGGCTGGAGAAATAATAATAGAACAAATCTATATTTAAAATAACAAAATCATCATATCATGCTATTAAAAACAGTGGTTCTAGGATGACTATCAGGAATTTGAAATTGCCAGAATTTGGAAATTGGCAGCCTTATAGCTTGTCCAGGGAAGCTAAGTGTATTTGAATGATAGTTCAATATGATATGGAGATTAGCATGGCCTGAGTGAGGATGACACGCAAATTAGTGAATGATAGTTCAACAGCAGGTAAAATATGTCTATCAAAATTATACTTATTATGAAGAGATATGAAGAGATGCTTTCATTTTACCAATGATAAAAGCACCCCATCTGTAAATTTTTCCATTAGACAATTAGCATATTTACAAGGCGGTTGCATCTTCTGAATAAAATTAACCCAGAAGGGGCCTCCCTGGTGGCGCAAGGGTTTAAAGCACCTCACTATTAAGCAATCTGCAGCCTCTGCAGCAGGAGTTCAATCCCCAGCCAGGGAGCAACCCTCATGGTGCAGCAGACCTCTCCTGACTCGCCCGCTGCTCCCCTCAGCAGTGTACTTATGTCAGTCCGCTTTTCTGCTCCCTGCTTTGTCTCTGGTGAATCTTCTCACTCCCTTGCATCTCTGGCCTTTACCCCAGCTCTTGGATGCATAAATAAATAAATCTTAAAAACAAAATTAACCCAGAAGTATTCTCATAAGTATAAACTCATGTGAAAGTAAAAATGAGCATAAGACACCGAGAATTACAGTGATAGGAAGAAGTCAAAATTATCTCACAAAAGTAAGTTGAAAAACTGGGTAAGAAGTGAACAATGACCATATAAATTTTTGTGACCATAATAAAATATAACATTAAACCATACTCTCTTAAATAGCCTTAAATAGTCTTGCACTACACTAAATCATAAATTAGCTGCCTTTAGAAATTTACCTTTCTCTTTAATTGTTTTGATTAATAAAGAGGATCTAGCCTTACAAAAATTCAAGTCTAAATATATATATTTAAAACGTCGTAGACTGCAAATTTTCAAACCTATTCTCTAAGTTAAAATTATACTGTGGAAAAATGTTACGGAAGTATATCAAAATTGGTAAAAGGAAAGCTATCGTGTCATAAGAGAGAGAGAAAAGGGAGGTTTCAAAACTAGGGATACAGAATTTTTTTTTAAAGATTTATTTATTTATGTATACAAGCACTGGGTACAGTCAGAAGCGCGGGAGGGTGAGAGAATTCACCAGAGCCAGAGCGGGGAACAGAACAGACTGACGAAATACACTGCTGAGGGGAGCAGCGGGCGGGCGCGGCAGGAGAGGTCCACCGCGCCATGGGGGACCCTTGCTGGTGGCCGGGGATTGAACCGGCACTGCAGAGGCTGCGCCACCAGGGGAGGCCCTGTATACAGAATTTTAATGTTATCTTTTAGATGTGAAATTAGTAGATCATTGTGACTTCCTTATGTTTTAGTTTTGTGATTTTCCTATTAAAATGTTTTTAAAGAATATAAAGTATATAGCTAGTACGTTATTGTATTCCTAAATCTGTGGCAACAAGAATTGCCAAGATGAAACAGGAAGGAATTCATATGAAAATCTGGGGAAATTAGGGCTTCCCTTTTGGTGTTGGGTTAAGTCTCTGTGCTGTCACGGCCTTGGCCTGAGATCAGTTACTGGCTAGGGAACTAACTATCATATTGCGCAGCAGACCTCTCCTGTCTCACCTACTTAGCTCCCTTTAGCAGTGTATTTCAG